TCGTGACTCTCATGCGTTATTTGTGCCAATAAAAAAGGATATTTTTTGTTTTTTTCCTTTTTTGGTTTGTATCACCGCCGCAAATAAGTAAATCGACAGTATTCGACCTGTTATTCAATAAAAATATTCGACTGTTATCGTTATTAAATGAAAAAAAATATATTCGGCCTGATATTCAATAAAAATATTTAACCGTTATTACTGTATTAAATGGAAAATTTAAATATTTAACCGTTATTAAATGGAAATATTTAACCGTTATTAAATGGAAATGTTTAACCTTTATTAAATGAAAATGTTTAACCGTTATTAAATGAACCCGTTTAACCGTTATTAAATGAACCCGTTATTAAATGAAAATATTCGACCGTTATTAAATGAAAATATTCGGCCTGTCATTCAATAATGATAACAAACCTTATAGGAATCTAATTACACTAGGAACCGTGAACCGGTATACTGTAAGTCTTGATTGGATTATTTATCGCAAAATATGTTGTAAACTGTGATTGATTGATTTATTATCACATTGGCGCGGACAGACATATCGATATTAAAGTTTACAGAGGAATAGAGAATCCTCTGCTTCGCTCCAAATCCAATATGCATACCGGTTACACGAATATGCAATGTCCGTCTATCGCTATAAAGATAATAAAGACTAGATAAAGACTAGGCATACCGATACTGTAATTTTTTTCATAATATACATACTGTGTATATATATTACTTTTATTTTAATATCGCTTATTTAAACCTTATAGTCTTAAGAAATATAAAAAAAAAAAAAAAAGAAGAATAAACATAGCATAAAGAAAACAATTTTCATTCGAAAAAAAAACGAGGTAAGATTTAATCGATAGATGCAATTAAACAAGGAAAAAAAAAACACAAAAAAAAATAAAAACATAGAAAAACGTAATAAAAGTAAAGCTTAGGGAAAATTAGAAAATGCATAAATAAATCCTGCGATTATTTAGTAAATTTTGCAAAGGTAAAATATAAAAGAAAAAAGAAGATATAAAAAAAAATAAAATCCAATAAAAGATAAAAGGTGAATCAAATAAAAGGTAAAACTATATATCATATCAGATATATAATATATAGTGTATAATGATTGTTAAATATTTATAAATTTATAAATTTATAAATTAACAATCAAATTGACGTTAAAACCTGCCGCAAAAAAGATTTCAGGTTTATTTCTTGGAATTTCTTGAGCAATTTCAGCATTATCAAAGGCTTCGGAAACAACTTCAATCATATCATCTTTAATTACACTGATTTTGTGAGAACTTCTTATCAAATGTAATCGAATTTCATAAAATGAATAAAGTTGTGCAGCTCTTTCGGGATGATTATTGCATAATTTGCATTTATACACGCGTTTGTTACCGGAACGTCTATGAAGAAAAGCACCACATGCAGTGAATGGTGGTGCTGGATTATTTTTAAGATGAATTGTTTCAGCGCGAAGTTGAGGAATTAAACTTGTGATCAAAAAAACATCATCCCAAAGATTCCGAGGATCATTATCAGTAAATGGTAAGTTTTGAAATGACGGGCACCAAGGAAGATATTTGATTAAATGAGTTTCGAATTGAGAATGGGATATATTATCAGAATTAATATCATTTTGATCAGTAGTAGTAGTAGTAATAGCAGCAGCTACAGGTTGATCAGAATCAGAGTGAGGTAAATCAAATATTAATTTAAGTATATCCATTTGACGAGTTTGAACAGCAACATCATAAGAGAAAAGTTTCTCGGCGGCCTGTCTTTGAGCTCTATGAGTAGCGGCAAGTTTTGTATATTCAGGAATTAATTTATTTTTTAATCCAATCCATGCACGATTAGTAAAAGTATGTGTGGATGATGACATTATGGCCTTATTATAAACCATACATTGCTCTACAATAGGCATTTTAAATCTTAATAAACCATATTCATTTCTTTCATTTTTTATCATGGATTCTATGGTAGAAGCACGTTCTTCACGTTTTTTTTCATTTTCAGAAGATTTAACCCAATATTCATTTTCATGTTCGATTTCACGTTGGGCAACGTCTTCCATTCTTTGACGACCTTCCTTTCGTTTATTAAGAAGCCAGTCTTTTCTTTCATCAGGATCAAGTTTTATATATTCATTATAGACACGATAAACATCATCGCGCCAATATAAATTTGCCGGACGATTTTTTGGACTTTGATCCCAACCCCATTTGTAAAATCCAGTTGTATAAGTCAATCCACGCAAAATATCATCAGGTATAGAATATTTTGATAATAAATCACGCCGAACTTGATCTAATCTAAATAAATAAAAGTAAATAAAAGTAAATATAAATAAAGTAAATATAAATAAAGTAAATATAAATATATTTATATAAATTATAATACAGTAAATTATATATATTTATATATAAATATTTATTATAAATATAAATATATATTTATATTTTATATATGTATATATATACCTCATCGTTCTCTCACTCAAACAAGGTTTACAACAACGAACACGAAAAGCCCAATAAATTCTTCGTATTCTGCGCCTCTTGCAAAATTGGCATCCGCGTTCAGCAAGGAGCTTTACATAACGACGTTCATCCATATTATCGGGCGGAGGCATTTTAACATAAGGCAAAAATTGAGATCGAGAATTGCGCCAGATTTCTTGAGTTGGTTTTGAATTAGTAGAACATAAGTAACCATAAAACTTTTTACAAACTTGAGCCAGGGAGAGAAGGTCAGAAGGAGGAAGATCCTGACAAATATTAATGAAAATTTCTGGAGGAATCTCTGTGGCAATACAAGGACCAGCCATGATGATCATCTTTGGAGAGATTGGACGTGAAAAGTTGAAATTTTTCAAGGCACGAACTTTAAAAAAAAAAAAAAAATTAGCCTACTTATAGGATTACTAGATTATCACAGATTGTTTCATGAGGAAACTTTTGTAATCTCGTGATTTTATTCACATCATTTTTTTATTGGATCATAGTACAATAGGGTTATTGTAAATACATATATATCGTGTGCGCCTGTGAACAATGTGATTTATTGTTTCCCACGTTTGAAATTCAAAACGTAAGTGATGAAAAATTTGACTATAAAATTTAAACTCAGAAACTCATTCTACGTATTAAAAAATAAACTTTTTGTGTAATGCCTTTTACGCATTTATGTACATTACGTAATACATGAAAGTTAAAAAAAGCACCGGTTTTCTCTATTCTTTCATTTCTTTTATTATTTGAAACTTTATAAAATGAATCGAATTGGCTAAGCCCAAATCCTTGGAAACACACAAACAAACAAATTAACGATCTAACATGACATTTGATATTGTCAAACTTTGATATTGTTGATGAATCTTAGAACTATTTATGGGATTTATCAGCTTTCATGAAAAAAAAAACTTGAAAACTTTTGAATCGAACGATTTTTTTGATTACACGCGCATATCTTTTTTCAAACGCGTTTAGTATATCTTAAAAATTCCTATTTCTTTTTATGTATCCCAAACATTTTTGAATTTTTTTGAATTTTTGTGAATTTTTGTGAATTTTTTTGAATTTTCACGTGGAATGATGTAAATATTTAATATTTCTGTCTATATTCATTCTAAATTTAGTAAACTACTTTCTTTTCTGTACACAATACTAGAAAAACCTATTGTTTAATGATATCAAAAATGTATCTCGATTCATTCACGAAATCACAAATGGGTGTTTCATTACTTTGATATTCTCACCCCACAATATCTTTAATGCAGTGATATGGCGTCTCTCTATAATTTGTCTGAAATTTTTAAGAATACAAGTTGTTCATATTTGTTATATTTGTTCACAATTACATCAAAACAGGTTTAATACAGATAAGTTTATACAAATAAGCTAATATAGTAAAGTTTATACAGATGAGTTTATACAAATTAGTTAATGCAGCCAAGTTTGTATAGGCAAGCTTATACAAATCAGTTAATGCAGTCAAGTTGTATAGGCAAGCTTATACAAATAAGCTCATACAGATAAGAACCTTTAAAAAATCAATTAATATACTGTATATTATTATATAACCTTTACATCAATGTCTATTGTTTAATTTACCAAATTTAACTATTTATTTAACTATTTATTGTGGGGTACCAACGCACCAACGTGAGTTTGGTTCAGCATGGGACAGTTTACACTGTAACGGTATAGTATACATACTGTATTAAGAACTGTTATCGTTATGTACTATGCTTATCTGTTATAATTATTTACTATAAAATATGTGTTTAAATTTCTGAGTTACATTTCAGTTAATATTATCATTGTACGTAGAACCTCTCCCGTTTCGTTTGAGACAATAGTTCTTAATTCTTGTTACGTAGTACCTATTAATTATCAATTTGTTTTACAATCTTAATACATTCTTAATACATTCTTAATACATTCTTAATACATTCTTAATACATTTTTAATACATTTTAATAAATTTTTAATACATTGTTTAATACATTTTTAATATAAGCATTCTTAATACATTCTTAATACGTACTTTATATACGTTCTAAGTTTCATAATTACAATGGGTCTTTAATAAAATTACCGATATGAAAAAAAACAAAGGATCTCCATATCAGGGGTTAAGTGTAACATTTAAATAGTTACATAAAAATTCTACAAATACTACTGATTTAAAAGAACTACTAGTACCCAAGTCGCTTTGGCGGAGTGGTTAACGCGGTGGCCTGCTAAGCCATTTCCTTCTGGGAGCGCAGGTTCGAATCCTGCAGGCGACGAAAAAAAATTTTTTTTGTTCTTTATTTTATTTAACCATGTGACTTTAATCTATATACAGTATATATATTTTTTATTATCAGTTATAATATATACTGATGTACTGCACGCATAACAATATAAACACATATATAGAACATTTCGATTATCGTTATCATTTGGATACATGGCTTTCCGTAACCTTTATTCTAAACCATTCAATAAACAATTATCATTGAATCGACCATCTTTACTTTCAACATGTTTAATTGTTCAAAAGAGGACTGGAACCGCTAAACCAAAAAGTGTTATATATTTGATCTTAATTTAGTCCTAGATGTTTCATTTTTGTTAATTATAGAATACATTTATATCATTTAGTAAAAAAATCATCCGCAAATGTTCAAAAAAATAAAGGATTTCTGAAAAAAAACATAAAAAAGAAAAATGTCGCTGAGGTTTACTTCTATACAATTATTTTATTATTTTTTTTAAAAAATCTTATTATATTCTTATTATATTCTTATTATATTCTTGTTTTATTCGTTAAAATAGGAAGTTGAAACTCCCTTATCTACAAGTTTTACAAAAAATAAAGAACTTTATCTTTCTCCTCCGGTTATATCTTTAGAAGAAATGTTACCGGTGTGTTTATTGTTTTTAAAAATTAATTTATTATATTTTTATTATAAAATTTAATCGTGAATCTTCGTGCAATAGGATGTATATACTGACGAAAATATTGGTAAAATTTATCGCTTTCCTCCGGAAATCATTTCAAAAATCAATATTTTTAAATTCCCTCCGATTTTGGAAAGAGAGGTGGTTATTTTTCTTAACGTTGTTTCTTAACGTTAACGTTGTTTCTTAACGTTGTTTCTTAACGTTGCGTTATTATTCTTCTCATCAACTACGTTAATTAAGTATTCATCTATTTTTTTAATCGTACTAGTTCTCTCCATTGCCCTACCCTTCCTTAGCAATTCGTCAATCATCAATTCAATTAGTCAAGCTAATTGAAAATGCTTCACAAAAGTCGAGCGCAGAAACCAGGATTATTTTATGTAAATATATTGTATATATTGTATATATTGTATATATAGTAATTATGTTAATATGCTTTCGTCATTATGTTAATTATTTTCCGGCTTTTTTTAGCTGGGGAAACGGGTGTAGGAAAAAGTGCATTATTGCTTCAAACCGTTAATTATTCTTTGGGCAAACCATGGATCGTAATATACATTCCAGATGGTAAAATATCGTTTGAATTTACTTCAATTGTATTTTGGTAATATATATTAATTTCTTTCTTCTTTCCTTCATCAGCTATCAAGTTTGTAAATAGTTCTTATCCATATATAAAAAATAAGATAACAAATGAATTCGTTCAGCCTACTTTATCAGCCGAATTCTTAAAACAGATAAAAGCCGTTAATTTCAAATTGTTACGAGATGTAATGTCATTTCTCAATAAAATTTAAAAATTTTTTTTTTATTATAAATAATACCATTTTATTAAATTCAAACAATAACATCTTTTTTTTAGATAACGTTAACAAGAGATTATAAATTAAATAAACATATAGTAACAATTAATTCACCAGTAATAGAACTTATGGACATTGGAATCAAGGATACTAGTTGTGCTCCGCAAGCGTTTGAGATTTTTTTGGATGAAATTGGAAAGAATGTAAAGTAAATACTCTACCGAAATCTTAGGATTATGTCTATCAAATAACGTCAATTCCAATTAATTAATTTTCTAATTCAGTTATCCAGTTCTTTTAGCAGTTGATGTAATTAATGCTTTTTACACTGCAACTGAGTATACCGATATTGATGATACTTATCTCGAGCCTGATAGATTATCTCTTTCACGTACAATATTGGATTATTTTTCTGGAAAACGTGATTTTGTAAGACCTACTTTTTAAATAATATATAGGATATCTTTTTCATTTCTTAATTTTTTGATTGTTCCGATTTTATAATTTATTTAATTTTTATAGACATATGGTGCAGTAATAGGTGCCTTATCTCAATGTTATAAACCATATATTAGTAAACCGTTAAATATTGCCCTCGGATTAGTGACGCCATCTCCATGGAAACATTATCCACAAAATCTTTTAAATTACGCCGTTGGACTACAAAGGTTTGATGTTCCCAATTATTCTCAACCCGAAGCCAAAGGCGTTCTAGATTATTATTGTGATGGTTCATCAATCTTACAACGTAAGTTTTATATACCATTTATTATATCATTTTTGTTAATTTAATTCTTGTTCAAATTTTATTAAATCTTTTATATTTATAGAATCTCGTGATAAACTGTTTCAAAAGACATTTATTGCAACAAATGGGAATCCACGAAAACTTTATCTATCTTGTTGGAAGGGATTATAGTGTTTGATAAATTGATATCCTTATCCCATTATTGTTGTAAATCTCATTGTTGTAATGTTTTAGCTTAATCATATTACGTACAGTAAACTGGATAAATTATTCTTTGAGGAAAAAAAATCATATTAAAAATGTCAAGAATGCAATAGTGAAACTTCAGAAGATAATACTTGTGTTAATAAATATATTATAATCAATAAAAAATTATGGCCAAAATTGTACATGAAAACACAAAGAAATACTTTGTCTTAAAATTAAAGACAATATTATTTCATCTAATAAAGCCATTTTACCTAATTTGGATAAATTGTTAGCGTTACGTAGAAGCGTATCTTTTGTTTCTAAAAATGGTAATCTTCAAAAGTATACGTACGTAACGATAAAGCTAACTGCTAAGAAATTAAAACTATCCAACCAATAAAGAAATAGAACAAGAATAATGGATATACTGCCAATGCTCGACGATTTGTCAAATAAGATGCCGAAATAAAATTAAAAGAGGCTTAAAAAAAAAAAATAAAATAAAAAATTAATATTTAACTATATTTAACTCTGAATAAACTTGAATAGACCTTAAGTAGACCTGAATAGTAATAATAAAATTGTAAATAAAAACAATTCTCACCCCAAGAAGACCATGAGTATGCCGCTACCGATAAAAATAATCTTATATAGATTATTTTACCAATAAAAAGATCTAAAAACGCAGCTAGGACTAAAGGAAAAATACAATATCCAAGAACACATATACTTTGAAAGAATGATCTAAATTTACCGATAAAAAAAAAAAAAACAGATTAATTTATTTCTTATTCTGCATATTAAATATTGTGTTCGTAACTTACACCTTGCAGCCCAAGAGTTTTGCATTTATTGTCACAACAGCAGCACCAGACCATACAATAATAAAAACACTTGTAAATACTGTAACTTCTTGACTTTGTGCACCAATACTCAATAATCTAGTATCATAAAATCATTTACGTAAAAATAACAAAATGAAAATTTGCTACGTAAAATAATTACAATTAATATGTTTTATTGCCACTTACGTGGATAACGTCAAACAAAGAATTAATGGACCCCACAAATCCCCTTTAAAATAAAAATCTTTTTGATTAAACAACAAAAAAAAAAATTAAATTAAAAATTACCGTAAAGTTTGAAAAATAAGCATCTCTATTTGTGACAAAATTTATCAGGAACCAATCTCAATTGCTAATTCCTAATAGATTTGGTCTTAAAATACTACCGGTATATTTCAAAAATGGAATACTTATTTTACATTCTTTACATTAACTAATACTGTATATTTACAATCACGTAAAACATCGCGTTCTCCTTTAGGATAAAGAATTTGTTTCAATTTAATTACAATATTTCTCAAATCACGAAGCTTGATTTATAAAGTACACAAAAATTAATTTTGAAATTTGTAAACAATTCATCATCATCAAAAAAAAAAAAAAACCTACAATAGTTTTAGCAACTGGTTCATCAAGCGAATCGATTAAAAAATGATTGGATTGAATGGGAAGTGGTTGTGGATCAACATTAATGACTACTTGCTCTGTAATAACTGCAAGAGCACGAGGGGATGAAAGATCTATATCATCTGGTTCTATCACAATATCATGATCTTTCAAAGTATAATCATTTGGTAAATTTTCAAAGTCATATTTGTCTTCAGAATTATGAATAACATGGTTACGATTTGATAAAGGTGATAACAACATAGTAACGCCAGAATTTCTAAAGTAAAATAAACATTAGCAACAAATATGAAAGAAAAATGTTCATTACGATCAAAAAAGCTTGATTATTTTTCATATTTCACTTTCAATTCAATATCAAAAGAGTTTCGAAAGTAGGTCTTTGGCAGTCGAGCAAGTTTCCCCACCTCAACCCTAAATCAGAGTTGACTTTAACAATCGCCGCTTATAAACATAAAAAATGATGGTCCACGTTGACCATAAAATCCTGAACAATAAACCACAAGAACGACTAACGCTAAATACTAGACCTACTTATGATGGTGTTTTTCCTTATATATATCGATAGTCTTTGTTGCAAACGATAGTGAATGGTTGATTGTTACACGTAGGTGAATAACTTAGCCTTAAGTGCTGTAACAATAGAAGAAAAACTTGTTATAAAACACAGCCCAGAGTGATCGTGATGAAAATCATTGTGAATTTCACTTATATTTAGCGTTAGAAAAGTTTTTCCTATCGCTATAAACTTGAATCTTTAAAAAAATTAAGTTAATTGTTCTTATTGCATAAAATTTTAGAGGTGATCCGGCATCTGGCTTTTATTTTCACATAAGTTTTTTAAAAAAAAATCACTTGGATTATAAATTTTTTTAAATCAGTAAAGTCTAACCCGATCGAGTCATGAGAACTAAGAGTAACTTTGGTCTAAAATCACGAACAAAATTTTAACCATTCTTTTCAATAAAGCTTAAATCTTTATGATATAAAAATACATTTCAAAATGTATCTAGAATATATATTTAATACGAGTTAAAGGTTAGGATTATATTTAAAAAGTTTTAAACAGTAATTATAAAACGCACCTATAGTGTTTGCATCTATTATATATTTTATTATTTTTATAAGTTTTTATAAGTTTTGTGTATATAAAATTTTTAACACGTAAATTCTTCACATTTGGTTAGTATTTAGAATTAGAATTAAGGTTTTTGGGGCGTAGAACATTTTTACCTAGAATACCCAATTTGCCAATTTTTGAGATAATGTATTCATAGATGCGTTTTAGTAAAAGTCATTTAAAATATCAAATCATACTATATATAGTTACTTATAATACAATATAGATTCCTGACTTGACAAAAACTTCTAGATTTTACTAACTGCTTCTTAGTTCTTAAATATTTTAAACCAAAAACCAAGATTGTAATATATAGGGTCTTTGCCTTGAAAATCAAGTATGGGACATATGATTTACTATGTTCCATGACTTGATTTTCAAGGCAAAGACCCCATATTACAACTTTATTTAATTGTAATATAAAAATACATTAATTATATTATTTTTTCGTAGGGCAAGTTCTTGGAATTGCTATTGCTAATCTAGATAACTGTTAAGTTTATCAAGGTTTTGTCTAAATATATTTTGATTAGATATATTATTTTTATATAATTATAAAATTTACAAAAAAATATTTATAAGTAGTTTTAATTTAATTTTAATTTTTTTTTTTTAAACTTGGCTAAGTGCAGTATGTGACTAGATTAGAAATTTTTAAAAGAAGACCCAAGATATAAAGAAGTTAGTACTATATTAATTGCAGTATTATAGAAAACTTTAGTTATAGTAATAGTGCAAATAAGTTCTTAAAGACAAGTCAGTCCTAATATTTTTGTATTTCTAATTTAGACAGTACTAACATTTTTATATCCAACTTGTAAGATACTTGCTTGGAAGAGTAGTTAATAGACTGTGCAAATAAGTCCTTATCAAATTGAAAATTTAAATATTTGCTTAGAAAAATAATTGCTTTTAATTGAAGTTTTGTAGTAAGAAAAGTAGTAAATATTTTCTTATTATATAGTTAGTAAAACATTTTTCAAAGATATTTTATTATTCACTAAGCCAATTTTGATGATTTAACTATTATTAGATTCATTTCAATAAGTTTTACAACTTAATTAAAAACTTTTTTTTTTTTTTTTTTTTTTAAGGTGTCCTTCGGGACCGAGCTTTATTGATGTTTAACTGTTGACCACGTGGGTCTT